CCCCAAAACCCCAAAACCCCAAAACCCCAAAACCCCAAAATATCAGAAAATGTTGAAATTTATGTAAAAATAAAGCCAAATATATTAGGACCGTCAATCTTGAATACCTTCACTCCTGTGAGTCCTTTGTCATTAAAAATCTTCATCATCTTGCTTTAAGACAAGTTTGAGAGTTTAAACTCTAATTTCTTCAAACTCTTGCTCAATTCTGACTTGCCAAATGTTTTGACTATCTCTTCTAGCTGACTCGAGTACTCGCCCCAGCCTGATGATTCTCCACACATAATAATCATCTTGATAAGGCATGTGTCTGGCTTTGATCATAGTCCATATCAAAATACTGTACTCTCGCATTGCTTGCATATTTTATGAATCCTGAGAGTTTCAAGAAATCTACAGAAGCTCGATCTCAAGCTCAAACTTGATACCTCTCAACTCCTATTGCTCTAACTTTATCTCCAAGTGATCTTCCATCATCTATTTATTTTTGAAGCTTTGTTCTCTCATAAAAATATGTTCTTTACTTTAAGCCTCTTCTCTGGTTGAATTATCACTTTGCACTTGTCAATCACTCAGGCCTGGAATGCTAACTCCACTGCTCCAGTCCAGCTATTCAAAATCCTGGTGAATCCCTTACTGGTTATCATCAGTAGGACAAGATATACCACTCCAGGTACAGTAGAAACCTAGAGGCCTGTTAATTGGCTTAAGAAGAGATGAGAAGGAGCATGGGGTTGGGGTGTGCTTGGGTGCAGAGTTTACAGAGGAGAGCCAAAGGAAGAAGATGATGGAGATTTAGGTATAGTTCAAAGGAAAAAAGAGAAGGATATAAGAGTGCTATAAATCATTAAATTTTGTAAGAATTCGCAAACTGCGCTGGATAAATTTGCCTCACCTGCCACTTTGAAGGCTTGAAGGGGCCAATGATGATTTTAGAAGAGCATATTTATTCAAAATGATGTTGAACCTTTCAGTTGCCTTGTCATATCTTTAAATGCCCTACCAACCAGCTATAAAGAGGGTTCTAGATATTTAATTTTCAATCAAAATTCCTTGTTCTGGGGTTTTGGGGTTTTGGGGTTTTGGGGTTTTGGGGTTTTGGGG